GAGGGCAGGGGAGACATTGGGAGTCTTTCTCTCCTCTCTACTCTCCTCTCAACCCCTCTCTCCTCCTCTCTCTCTCTCTCCTCTCCCTCTCCTCTCCTCTCCCTCCTCTCTCCCTCCTCTCTCCTCCCCCTCCCCCTGCTCTCTGCTCTCCTCTTCCCTCTCTCTCTCCTCCCTCTCCTCTCCTCACTCTCCTCTCCCCTCCTCCTCTCCTCCCTCCTCTCTCTCCTCCCCTCTCTCTGCTCTCCGCTCTCCTCTCTCCCCCCCCTCTCTCCTCTCTCCTCCCCCCTCCCCCTCCCTCCTCCCCCCTCTCTCCTCTCTCCTCCCCCCTCTCTCCTCCCCCCTCTCTCCCCCCCCTCTCTCCTCTCCCCTCTCTCCTCTCCCCTCTCCTCCTCTCTCCTCTCCCCTCTCTCCTCTCTCCTCCCCCCTCTCTCTCTCTCTCCTCCCTCCCTCTCTCCTCTCATCTCCCCTCCTCTCTCCTCTCATCTCCCTCCCTCTCTCCTCTCATCTCCCTCCTCTCTCCTCTCATCTCCCTCCTCTCTTCTTTCATCTCCCTCCTCTCTCCTCTCCTCTCCCCCTCCTCTCTCTCCCCCCTCTCTCCGCACTCTGCTCTCTTCTTCCCTCTCCTCTCTCCTCCCCTCTCTCTCCTCTCCTCTTTCTCCTCTCTCCTCCTCCCCTCTCTCTCTCTCCTCTCCTCTCCCTCCTCTCTCCTCCCTCCTCTCTCGTCCTTCCTCTCTCCTCCCCCCCTCTCTCTGCTCTCCTCTTCCCTCTCTCCTCTCTCCTCTATCCTCCCCCCTCTCTCCTCCCTCTCCCCTCTGCCCTCTATCCTCTCCTCTTCTCTGACTTTACCTCCCCATTCACATTATCCACATTATCCTTTGCCATATGACAATTGCTGGATTCTGCCATCTTGTACCGCTCTCATGCTCTATCCCTGGATTCCTTACAGGCATTATTGGTTGAGTTTTCAGAGAGGGATATACAGCGCCATCAGGTGGAGGCTCAGGGTCAGCTGGTGATTGAAACCTCCTCTCCAGAGGGAGCCGCTCTCATCCACACTGAGCTAAAACAGCTTCTTGAATCCTGGGAGTCACTCAGACATCTCTATGAGCAGTTATCCAGGTGAGAACCCGTCATTGAAGCAGCACTTCCTCCTCTGTACTCATCTGGCTCATTCTTGTCATGGCATCCCTAACACCTCTCTATCTTGTGCAGTGGCTAATGTCTGTATGAGACACAGTGCCTGATGCCTCTATGAGACATGGTGCCTTATGCCTCTATGCCTCTATGAGACATGGTGCCTAATGACTCTATGAGACTTATTGCCTGACGCCTCTATGAGACTTAGCACCTGATGCCTCTAGAGGCACAGTGCCTGATGCCTCTATGGGACACAGTGCCTGATGCATCTAGGAGACTGCATCTAGGAGACATGGTGCCTCATGCCTCTATGGGACATGGTGCTTGATGTCTCTATGAGACACGGTGCCTGATGCCTCTACGAGACACGGTGCCTGATGCCTCTTTGAGACACAGTGCTTGATGCCTCTATGGGTCATGACGCTTGATGCCTCTATGAGACACGGTACCTGATGCCTCTATGAGGCAGGGTACCTGATGCCTCTTTGGGAGCCGGTTCACATATATGCGAATTGAATGCAGTTTGAACCGCATCCTATCCCCATGGCGTGAAATAACATTGCTTGCTATTGTGCTTGTTCACATATGTCTGGTTCACTGGCAGTGCAGATTCAGTGCAGATTCAAATAGAACCCTGTACAAGTTATGAGCAGTGCGATCCAGTTCAGGTGCAGATTACAGGCTATTGACTTCAGTGGGAACCGTTTCTAAACCTCACATGTCATTAGTTGTGAACAGGATAAAATCCTGTCCTGAACCTGATGTAAAACTGACCTGAACCACTGAACCTGAGCTTCAGTCTGCACTGCACATGTGCACACACTAAGACACGGTGCCTGATGCCTCTGTGGGACACGGTGCCTGATGCCTCTATGAGATACGGTGCCAGATGCCTCTATGAGACAGGGTGCCAGATGCCTCTATGAGACAGGGTGCCAGATGCCTCTATGAGATATGGTGCCTGATGTCTATGAGACACGGTTCCTGATACCTCTAAGAGACACGGTGCCTGATGCCTCTATGAGACACGGTTCCTGATACCTCTAAGAGACACGGTGCCTGATGCCTCTATGAGACACGGTGCCAGATGCCTCTAAGAGACGCGTTGCCTAATGCCTCTAAGAGACGCGGTGCCTGATGCCTCTAAGAGACGCGGTGCCTGATGCCTCTAAGAGACGCGGTACCTGATGCCTCTAAGAGACACGGTGCCTGATGCCTCTATGAGATACGGTGCCTGATGTCTATGAGACACGGTGTTACACGTCTTTCTGTTGATTTGCTAATGTTGGAAAGACTGGAGATCTACTTTATAATTGCATCTGCTTATAACACAATGTAACTGTCTCTTCTCCCAGATCCACGAAAGAGCGAGCGAGTCAGAGGAGGAACCCGAGAACCGTCATTGTCAACCAGACGTCTAGGTAAGTTCCTCTATGACAAAGGGGCACTCCGGTCCAAACTGATGTCTCTCTTTCAAATGAAAGGCAAGCATTATAGTCGCCCTCCAATATCAGGCCTGTTGGTAGCGGGAGGTCTGAGCCCCCAGCTCCAGCCGTTTGGACCCCATAAAATGCTTTATCTTCAGCTAATTTCTGCATAAATCAATCGAACTTTGAGCTGTAGGTGTTCCTACAAGCGCCACTTGAGCCGGGTAGAAAATGATCGTCTGAGTAGTGACTGCATCAGAGGCGCCAGAGCTTCTGCGTTTGATATCAGGGTTGTCAGGGACCATCTCATAAATCTGGCCAATTTGCTTCGGTCAAATACTAGAGAGTGCACCCAGAAAAGGGGGAACCCTGGGAAATAGTCCAACCGTGCAGAAAGGCGCCACATTCAGAGATCCCAAAGTGATGATCTATTAACCCCTCCAGAGGATTTACCCCCCCCCCCCACCTTCCCGACCAGGCCATTTTTTGCGTTACGCCACAGCGTGACTTTAACTGACAATTGCACTGTCATGCAATGCTGCACCCAAATGAAATTTACGTCATTTACGTGGGGATCTCAAAGGTATATACTCGGAAGCTAGCGGAGATCCCTATAGTAGTGGTGTAGTAGCAGCAATTTCCAGCCTCTATGGGGATTCCACACATATGGTATATACATACTTACAGTGAACCGAACCACATTGATTTCCACTTTATGTGTAACCTGATAAACATATGAAATTGAGTCTGCAGTGACCCCTGCTGGCTGGTATTGGCAAATATGTAATATGGTAGATTTACGTAACTAAAATATATATATAAAAGAAACAAAAACATTTTTACATTATTTCAGTTTTAGTCCTGAACATAAAAGAGAGAATAGAGACAGAAGTTCTCCTTGATTCAGCGATATGTTGATTACCACAAACTGTCATTATCACACAGGATCTATTATTATCCAGGATTTATATTATCCAGGATTTATATTATACAGGAGCTATTATTATACCGGATTTATATCATACAGGATTTATATTATCCAGGATTTATATCCAGGATATATCATACAGGATTTATATTATACAGGATTTATATTATACAGGATTTATATTACAGGATTTATATTATCCAGGATTTATATTATCCAGGATTTATATTATCCAGGATTTATATTATCCAGATTTTATATTATCCAGAATTTATATTATCCAGGATTTATATTATATTATCCAGGATTTATATTATCCAGGATTTATATTATCCAGGATTTATATTATACAGGATTTATATAATACAGGATTTATATTATACAGGATTTATATTATACAGGATTTTATTATACCGGATTTATATTATATCAGGATTTATATATCAGGATTTATATTATACCGGATTTATATTATACAGGATTTATATTATCCAGGATTTATATTATACAGAATTTATATTATCCAGGATTTATATTATCCAGGATTTATATTATCCAGGATTTATATTATCCAGGATTTATATTATCCAGGATTTATATTATCCAGGATTTATAATATACAGGATTTATATCATACAGGATTATATTATACAGGATTTATATCATACAGGATTTATATTATACAGGATTTATATTATCCAGAATTTATATTATACAGGATTTATATTATCCAGGATTTATATTATATCCAGGATTTATATATCCCGGATTTATATTATCCAGGATTTATATTATCCAGGATTTATATTATACAGGATTTTTATATTTATATCCAGGATTTAAATTATCCAGGATTTATATTATCCAGGAGCTATTATTATCCAGGAGCTATTATTATCCAGGATTATTATTATCCAGGAGCTATTATTATCCAGGATTTATATCATACAGGATTTATATTATCCAGGATTTATATCATACAGGATTTATATTATCCAGGATTTATATTATCCAGGATTTATATATTATCCAGGATCTATTATTATCCAGGATTTATATTATCCAGGATTTATATATACAGGATTTATATTATACAGGATTTATATGACGCAACAGTTTTCTCAGCGCTTTACAGTATAAAAGGGAGACAATACAGTGCAAATGCAAGAGGGTTAGGAGGGCCCTGATCCTTGGAGCTTACAATCTAATAGGGAGGGCTGGTGGAACAAAAGGTAATAACTGTGGGGGACGAACTGATGGAAAAAATAGAAGATTCCGTTCTTAGCTGGATAGGACTCCCTGAAGAGATCACCTAAAAGTGGACTGAGTGGGTGACAGTCGGATAGATTGGGGTAGAGAGTTCCAGAGGATGGCAGAGGCTCTGGAGAAGTCCTGGAGATGGGCATGGGGGAGGAGGAGACAAGGGAGCGCGTTATCATGTTGTATGGCTGTTCTTGTTGTATAGCTCACAGGTACACTTTATTTTATTTTCTTTTGTGCAGCTTTCTAACTGATGAAGACGCAGAGAGCCCCTCCCAGACTCCGGAGATCGGGAACCCCAAGTTAGTACTGTAATTAAATCCTCCCTCCGCCCCCCTTCAGTCTTGCACAGGTGTGCCAGCTCCTCCCCTTCAGTCTTGCACAGGTGTGCCAGTCTTGCACTGCCCCTCCCCTTCAGTCTTGCACAGGTGTGCCAGCTCCTCCCCTTCAGTCTTACACTGTTGTACCAGCTCCTCCCCTTCAGTCTTGCACAGGTGTACCGGCTCCTCCCCTTCAGTCTTACACTGTTGTACAGGCTCCTCCCCTTCAGACTTGCACAGTGCCAGCTCCTCCCCTTCAGTCTTGCACAGGTGTACCAGCTCCTCCCCTTCAGTCTTGCACAGGTGTACCAGCTCCTCCCCATCAGTCTTGCACCATTGTACCGGCTCCTCCCCTTCTGACTTGCACAGGTGTATCAGCTCCTTCCTCTCAGATTTGCACAGGTTTACTGGCTCCTCCCCTTCAGACTTGTACAGGTGTACTGGCCCCTCCCATTTAGTCTTGCACAGGAGTACTAGCTCCTCCCCTTCAGTCTGTCACAGGTGTACTGGCTCCTCCCCTCCAGTCTTGCACAGGTGTACCGACTCCTCCCCTTTAGTTTTGCACAGGTGTATCAGCTCCTTCCCTTGAGTCTTGCACAGGTGTACTGGCTCCTCCCCTTGAGTCTTGCACAGGTGTACAGGCTCCTCCCCTTCAGTCTTGCGCATGTGTACCGGCTCCTCCCCTTCAGTCTGGCACAGGTGAACCTGCTCCTTCCCCTTCAGTCTTGCACAGGTTTACTGTCTCCTCCCCCTCAGACTTGCACAGGTGTACTGGCTCCTCCCTTTCAGTCTTGCACAGGTTTACTGTCTCCTCCCCTTCAGTCCTGCACAGATGTAGCTGCTGCTCCCCTTCAGTCTTGCACAGGTATACCAGCTCCTCCCCTTCAGTCTTGCACAGTTGTACAGACTCCTCCCCTTCAGTCTTGCACAGGTGTACCGGCTCCTCCCCTTCAGTCTTGCACTGGTGTATTTGCTCCTCCCCTTCAGTCTTACACAGGTGTATTTGCTCCTCCCCTTCAATCTTGCGCAGGTGTACCGGCTCCTCCCCTCCAGTCTTTCACAGGTGTACCGGCTCCTCCCCTCCAGTCTTTCACAGGTGTACTGACTCCTCCCCTCCAGTCTTGCACAGGTGTACCGGCTCCTCCCCTCCAGTCTTGCACAGGTGTACCGGCTCCTCCCCTTCAGTCTTGCACAGGTGTACCGGCTCCTCCCCTCCAGTCTTTCACAGGTGTACTGACTCCTCCTCTTCAGTCTTGCACAGCTGTACAGGCTCCTCCCCTTCACTCCCCAGCACCTCTATTTCTTTTAGGGGTCTGATTATAAAACATTCATTGGACGACAGTCACAAATATTCAGCCAGGCTGCAAGAAATGTCCCCGTATTCTAATACTATGTCTTCCTGCAGTTGTCATCTAGTGGCCAAACTGTGGTATGTTTTACTGAAATACCCAGATCAGAAGATATGCCCACATTTTGGCCACTAGGTGGACTGCTGATCATAAGAAGTCCCAATAATGAGGAACATTCATGCAGCCATGTAACATATATGAATAATATCCAGCCAACCCACATGGAAGAAAATATAATTTGAAATATATTCTAAAAATATTCTTCCCAAATATATTGACATATATTGGAAATGCTACAATTTTGGCCGTATTTAATATATTTATATATATATATACACACACACATATATATATATATATTGAATACGGCCAAAATTGTAGCATTTCCAATATATGTCAATATATTTGGGAAGAATATTTTTAGAATATATATTTCAAATATATTTTTCTTCCACGTGGGAAGCGTCTGTCTCATATCACATTTGTCTGCTGTGTGATCTCCCTCTTCCAGCGCCAAGCAGGACGCCCTCCTCCAAATCCGCGTTCAGAATGATGACGGCCACAACGTCGATGCCGGAGGACATCATGGTGGCTTCTCACGGTGTGTAATATGTTTTGCCATTTTTGATGTTTTCTATTAGAAGTTATGTTCTCTTTCATCCGGTGATTTACACCTTTTTTGGGTGGGGATGGGAGGAGCCAAGTCACCGAAAATGTATTTTGCCGCAATTTCACTGGTGTCATTACCGAACCACACACGTTTGTCAGAATTTATCTCTCTTCTATTCACTCGCTGGCCTGCTTAGACCATTTTTTGTTCTTATTTAGAGGACGTGTTTTTGCGACTTTATGCAACTTACATCACGTGCATCCCGTACATCCCCTACATCCTGTACATCCCTGTACACCACCGTACACCGCCTGTATGCCCTGTACGCTTCTCATACACTAAGTACACTCTGTACATCCCACACACCCCGTACATCCCTTATACAGTACACCACATACATCCCCTACACCTTATACATTTCCCATACATCCCCTAACACCCCATTTACCCCATACATCTCCATACATTCTGTACACCCCGTATGCCCCATATACCAAGTACACCCCATACACCACCCATATACCAAGTATACTATACATCCCCTACACCCCATACACTCCATACACCATACATATACCAAGTACACTCTGTACATCCCATATGTCCCATACACCCCTGTACACCCCATACACTCCATACATACACTCTCACCATATACCATACACCCCATACACACCCTGTACATCCTGTATACACCGTACTATCACATAAACCCGTACACCTCATATACACCCCAAGTACACTCATCCTGCTGTACATACCAAGTACACCCCATACTCTGTGCACCCCATTCCTGTACACCCCATACATCCTGTGCACCCCATACATCCAGTACACCCCATACATCCCCAACACCCTGTATTTCCCATACATCCCCTATACATCACTGTATACTCCATACACCCCATACATCCGTACACCCCCGTATACCAAGTAGACACTCTGCACCCCGTACACACCCCATACATCCCCGTACATCCCCCATAGCGTACACCAAGTACATACTCCTGTACATCCCATACATCCTGTGCACCCTGTACATCCCATGCACATCCTGTACACCCCATCCGTACACCCCATATACCCAAGTACACTCGTACATCTCATACACCCCATATATCCTGTACACCCCGTACATCCCATACACCCCATATTCCCCGTACACCCCATACATACACACACACCCCGTAATGGCAAGCAGATATTCTGACAGTTCTTCCGGAGACCTGCATGGTATCAGCCATCTACTGATCTACAATGATTTCCAGGCTCCTTTGGACAAAAATAATGCATGCACGTGGTCTTACCAGCAAAGAAAATGTTCATTTATTATTTTTGTCCAAAAGGTGAACTTATCCTTTAAGAACTGTTTGGACTCCGATAATTATAGCCCTTATTTGGGAATATTTGATATTGCTGCACTTTTTCTGTTATTTGTATGAACTTTTTATGGACTTTTTCTGAACTTCTAAGATCCTTACCATAAGGACTTGAGCAATACTTGTTCCTTCAGCGACTAACTTCTTTTATTCTTAAAAGTTCTGATTTTCTCTCTCTGTGATTTTGTGAGACGATGTAATCAGTCTGTCCGATTCTTCTGATGGCCTCGCTTTAATCCCGAGCGTGCGTACTGTCGGTATGATAAATGGCCAACACCCAGAATGTATACAAATCCCGCCTCTCTGTATCTCCTAGCACCAGCTATGGCACCTCTATCTTCATATCCGGAATCCCAGAGGAACTGGATGATAACTCCACCCGTAATGAGCGGTCTGCAGGATCGGGTCACGCAAAAAACGTCGGACAGGTGAATCGAAAATATTTTTTAAAACTTCTGTTAATTAGTGTAGCACACTACCCCCTTAGGAGTCGCTGAAGATTTGGGTTTCCCTATAGTCCTGCACAGCCAGGCAACACGCATTTTCCACACAGACTTGAAGGAGACAGTAACCAGTCCTTGAGCTTGGTTTTTTGGGGATTTAATTAGGGGAATTGAACTTGGATGGGGTAAGGGGTGTACGGGATGCCCAAGGGACAAGTTCCTGGAACTATGTACATGTCTCTTCTTGGAGAGCTCTCCAGCCTCTCTTGGTGTTCCACCCCAGACCTCTGATGATTGTCCTCTATCCAGCTGTCTGAAGGAATCCCTGGGCAGAGGATCCGGTGCTTGTCACTGCAATGTGAAACAGTCCCGGGTAAGACCGCTAATCCAGTTTCCCACCAGAGTGCCTCTCTCCCCTTACTAGCCCAGGGGGTGTAGGTCTACTCACTCAGTCCTGATGGGTCGGTGGCTGCTCTCAGGCCTTCCACGGGGCCACTCTTTCCCTGCTACATAGATGGTCCTCTCTGTGGGGGCCAATGAGGTCCCGTGCTTCTCTCCTTTACAGCTTCAATGCCCCTTCCCAACTTTTGTATTTAGCCACTTCCCCCCTTGGTGGACGTCATATGATTAAAGGGTTGTACCGGGATGGTATCCCGGCAATATCCCAGTATCAAAAGTTTCAGCCAGTCGATCACTTCTACAGGTGATAGAAGGTGGTGGGAACCACTCCAGCAGACATCATCCTGTGGAATGAGGACTGACGTCGTTCCTCCCACTGCGTGATGGCCAGGGGGTGTAAGTCTACTCGCTTGGTCCTGATGGGTCGGTGGGTGCTCTCAGACCTTCCGCTGGGCCGCTCCTTCCCTGCTACATAGATGGTCCTCTCTGTGGGGGCCAATGAGGTCCTGAGCTTTCCTCCTTTCCAGCTTCAATGCCTGTAGGTGAGCCCCTTCCCAACTTTTGTATTTAGTTCTACATCAACCACTTCCCCCTTGGTGGAAGTCATATGATTAAAAGGTTGTACCGGGATGATATCCCGGCAATATCCCAGTATCAAAAGTTTCAGCACACACCTCCCCCCCCCCCCACTCCTTCCTGCTGCCCGGAGATCAGCAGCCCTTGGAGGAGATGTGTGTATGCGCAGACCCATACGATCTGAGAAAGGAAAAGAGAGAGGGGGGGGGAGAGAAGGAAGAGAGATAGAGGGGGGAAGGAAGAGAGAGGGGGGGGGAGAAAGAGGGGGAGAAGGGAGAGAGAGAGAAGGAAGAGAGAGAGGGCTGGGGAGAAAGGGGGGGGGGGGTAGGGAGAGAGAGAGGGGGGGAGAAGGAAGAGAGAGAGGGGGGAGAGAGGGGGGAGGGAGAGAGCTGGAGGGGGAGAGAGAGAAGAAGAAGGGGGAGAAAGAGAGGGGGAGGAGAGAAGGAAGAGAGCGGGGGGAGAAAGAGAGGGGGGGGGAGAGAGAAGGAAGAGAGATGGGGGGAAGGAAGAAGAGAAGGGGGGAGAAAAAAGGGGGGAGAAGGGAAGAGATGAGAGAAGGAAGAGAGAGAGGGCTGGGGAGAAACAGGGGGGGGGGGGGGGGTGGGGGTATAAGAGAGAGGGGGGAGAGAGAGTAAGAGGTGGAAGAAGGAAGAGGGGGGGATAGGCAGAGGATAGAGTAAGGTGAGAGGAGGGGGAGCCTGCGGTAGGAGGGGGTGGGGGGAGCGCTTATAGGGGGGGAGAGAGGGTAAGAGAGAGAGAGGGAAGAGGCAGATAGGGAGGATAGATAGGGGGGAAGAGGGAAAAGGAGAAGAGCGGGGGGAGGAAGAGAGGCGGGGGAAGAGAAGAGTGGGGGGAGAGAGAGGGATTTTTTGGTGGGGGGGGGGGGGAGAGGTGGAAGAAAAAGAGAGAGGGAGGAAATGAGAGAGAAAAAACATACCAACAGCCACACACTATATTAGACTCTCTCGCTCTGTCATATTGGGAGGGGAGGGGGGCGCAAAATTCTTTGTGTTGCCTGGGCAACACAAGATCTAAATACACCCCTGATTGTACTCTCCCCCTTTTATAATTATACTCCTATAGGATATTGATCTAATTCTGTTTCCCTGTATATATATATATATTACAGCACTGACTCGAAAATCATCAGACCGCGTCCTACAAGGGACTCTGACAGTAGCGGTCGCTCAGGTCAGGCGCACGCAGCTTTTCTCTATCAGGTAAGTGTTCAGATATACGGGACATTTTTTGCCCATGGACTTTGTTTCATATGCATACTATTCACTCATCCTAATGGTTTCATCAATGCTGAGTTGATGTTTTCTCCATGGG